CGAGGCCAACTGTATGAGGTTCAGCAAGGCTCAGTGCTGGGTCCTGCACTTGGGTCACAACAACCCCATGCAATGCTACAGGCTGGGGGAACTGCCGGCAGAAAAGGACCTGGGGGTGGTGGTCGACAGCTGCCTGAACATGAGCCAGCAGTGTGCTCAGGTGGCCAAGAGGGCCAATGGCATCCTGGCTTGTATCAGCAATAGTGTGGCCAGCAGGACCAGGGAGATTATAGTGCCCCTGTACTCGGCACTGGTGAGGCCTCACCTCAAGTACTGTGTTCAGTTTTGGGCCCCTCACTACAAGAAGGACATTGAGATGCTGGAGCGTGTCCAAAGAAGGGCAACGGAGCTGGTGAAGGGTCTAGAGCACAAGTCTTATGAGAAGCAGCTGAGGGAACTGGGGTTGTTTAGCCTGGAGAAAAGGAGGCTCAGGGGAAACCTTATTGCTCTCTACAACTCCCTGAAAGGAGGTTGTAGCGAGGTGGGGGTCGGTCTCTTCTCCCAAGTGACAAGTGATAGGACTAGAGGAAATGGCCTCAAGTTGCACCAGCAAAGGTTTAGGTTGGATACTAGGAAAATTTCTTCAGTGGAAGGGTAGTCAGGCATTGGAACAGGCTGCCCAGGGAAGTGGTTGAGTCCCCATCCCTGAAGGTATTTAAAAGACGGGTAGATGTGGTGCGTCGGGACATGGTTTAGTGGTGGACTTGGCAGTGCTAGGTTAACAGTTGGACTTGATGATCTTAAGGGTCTTTTCCAACCTAAATGATTCTATGATTCTATGATCCTTACCAACTAGATCAAAGTGGTTTTCTTAAGAAGGGTCCAGCTAAAGTGCATGTTTTGCATCACATGGCATTTAAAACCAAAGCTTGAAACAGTTTTACTTCTCCTCTGCTAAAGCTGATTCCTGTCATCATGCACAAGTCACGGAAGCTGAGAAAGGAGCCTTGCCTGGGCAACACTGCTAAGATCAAGGCATGGCAAGGACAGACGTCCACAGCATGGAATCTGCTGTGTCACTTTGGGCTGATCAGAGACCCTATTTACTCCTTGAAAAGATGCCTTCACCTACAAATGAGCGAGAAGGCAGACATGAATGTCTCTGTGTGCTAGTAACACCGGTAAACAGCCAAGACACTGGCATGAACCCTTAATTAAACTGCCATCCAGTTACTTTTCACAGGAACCTCTTGCCAGAAATTATGCATTTGATTTAACAAGGTTTTTATTCATTCTGATTAGATAGCTAGTAAGTCTGTGTTATGTATCATTTCTTAACAGTGGGTTTGAGGTCTCCATAATGTACCTGTAATCACAAGGCTGCCCAGGTAACTACACTGCATGGCGTATAGAAACAGCTCCTTCAATGATGGCCAAATCATCTCTTAAACATTGGTAATTGGGAACTAAAAGGAGAGATGGGCATATTCAATATGTCACTTTCAGCAAAGCTTTGCTCTAAAACCTGAATGGATGCTTTAGTTTCATCTTAGGAGCTCTGATTAACACATTGAGCTCTGCATCTGTATTCATCTACAATCTACCTGTGGGCAAAGCTAAAATTAATCATGTGAATGGAAGCAAAACACCCAGGAAACATACAAGGAGGCTTGGATAATGATCTGAAATTTCACAGAGTGGTTCAGACTAATTGATTAATGTTAGCGATGAAGTGGTAACAGACACTGCGCTTTGAATTCCTTGTTTGTCATCCTGACAGGCAAACCAGTTTGATTAGCCTCAATATTAACAGCATAGCTCTAGTCCGAACAGGTAGTACCAAGATCACCTCTTCAAAAGAGATAATTATAAATATCACCCTGCTTCAATTTTACGGACTCAGACACTGACATACTCCCTTCATTGTATCCTATCCTCTTGCAAAACCCCACCCCTTTCACAGTTCCTTCTCAAGGTCCTTCAGCCCAGGCTATGCCAGCTCTTCTTCTTGCTGTTAGTCAGAGCCATCTCGTCATCCCTGTTACTGTTCCCCTCCCACATAGCCTGATTGCACATCCCCTCACTTTGAACTCCCTGGTGCTGGGTCCCTTTGCTCCCTCAGTCCCACCCTCCTCACTCAGGCCATGCATCATCATTCTTGCAAGGTGAAGGGGGAAGTAACAATTCTGGTTTTTAACACTGAGACAGATCTAGAAGTCATCCTTTTTTTACTTAGACATCCTGTTTCAAGAAACTTCTTTCTGCCTTATCTGTTCTGTTCATCCTCTTCCTGCCTATCGTCTATTTGAAGATGATGCCTGCTACCTCCTCTTCTAGGCTTAGAAGGGTCAGAGTCAGCAGAGCCTTCCTGCCCTGCTCAGCTGCCGAGATTTAAACTAGGTGCAGCCCACAGTTCTCAGAAGCAGCAATCAAAAGTCAGTTTAAGCAAGTTCTGAGCTGGAGTATCTCCAGCACAAGCTGATCTTCCTTGTATATTACAAGAAAGCACTAATCTCCACTGAGCATGGGCAAGCCAAGTTTTCCCAAACTAAAGTTTAGGCAAATTTGTATAAAAACGATCAAGAGCTACATGGCTGAGGAAGACTCTTCTGATTGCTGCTCAAATAAACACAAGAAACAAACATTTTTGTGCTGGATTTGTTATGGAAGAATTGAGACAACTGAACTGTCCCAGCCAAAAGTTTTCCAGGATGTCAGCCTGAGGTAGAAACTGCACAGAAAATTTTAACTGAAACAACCTTCATAAGCCTAAATGCAATTGCAAGCAAAGTATTTTTATAGCAAGTGCTGGGTAAGCTTCAGTAAATAATAGGACTGGCTACTTTATCATGTTGGTTGTGGAATAATCTGTCTTAAATATTAGAGCAATGTCCCTACTGTCACTCCTGAAAATAAGTAAAAGAAAGAAACTTACTTCAAAACACACGATTGGGATCTTACCACCATAATTAGATTCTGTGAAACATGCCAAAAGAAACAGAGAAATAGATTCAATCCATTAATGCAGTTTGAACAACTTCTTTTTTTTTTAGTACAATGAAATAATTTCCAAGTAGTTCATGCAGACACTCCAATACAAGCTTACTGTTGATTTTGCCAAATCTGTTAACAGGTTTTCCTGTTTTTAATGAAGACTCAGTTTTGCCTAACATTCTGCATAGCTGGCTTCAGACACCCTTCTCCACCAGTTGCTTTTTTTCTCCTCACAATCATAATTTTTACTAGCTCCAAAGTCCCCCAAACGTGATTTTATTCTGTTTACCTATTGCTTTGACCATTTTGAGTCAAGGTGCAAGGTTCTTATCACAAGTTGAAGATTCAGAACCTCTGACTTCACATTTTCAATTGCAAAAGAAAGCTAAGAATCCTGTAAATCTAGGAGCTAGTGTTTAAAAGATATACCAAGTTTCATAATAATTCTGGGTGCTTCGTCATGACTAACAGCAAGGAGGCTTCAGCTGAGGTACACAGTAAAAAAAACCCAAACTCTTTAACTAAGAATTTCTTGACAAGGCTTTTGATTTTTTCCTTTTTGGCAAAGAAGGAGCTGAAAGAGAAATAATTTGGGAGCAGGTTTCAGATGGATCAATCATCTTCACAAATTTGTATTTTGGAAGAAGCTTAATTTCAGCTCCTGTGTAGTTGTGCTTTAGCTACCCAGAATTCAGTGCCAGGTGGGAAATATGTAGATGGGTCAGCTTCGAACAGATAGCCCAGCAGGAAGGGAGGGAAGGGCTGTATGGCTAAAATGGATCATTTGCTGTGTCCCACAAAGGACTATTGTCACATACAGAAAGGAAGATGAGGGGAGGGGTATTGCTCTGAAGAAGCCTGGTTGTTCCTGAAAGTGCTCAAGATGCAAGTGCTCAAGATGCTTTCAGCTCAGCATCCGAGGGATTCTACCACTATTTTGTTCCCAGAGAATCACTGGGCATCAGCCCCAAAGCATACAAGGACTAAAGAGAAGGAAGTCTGCAACCTGATACCCACACCTACCTGGGATAATCCGCTCCGAAATGTACTTTTCTAACTGAGTTCGTACTTTTGCCTCTATCGTTGGGTGTCCATGGGTGCCATTATCAACCAGTAAGAGATGGGTGTGATTATTATCCAGGCAATACAGGGGGTCTCTCTTCAGATCATCCATTATGTAGTGGGCCAAGTAGTACCCCTAGAAGAACAACCACAACATTTAACAGAGATCCAAGGGCAGAACATGCACAAGCCTTCAAGGACAAGCCAGTGACAGCTGAATCCCTAGCCATCAACTATTCCTCATTAGTTAGGAGTCCGGATTTCCTGACTCAAGACACTGCTCACTGTCAGTCCCAACAGCAGCAGAAGACAGTGAGAGAAACCCCATACAAGAGCACAGAGAAATTCTTCTTTACAAGAGTGGCCTGATTTGTGATGATCCTCTCATAACTTCATCTCAGCCAATGGAACAGTGGAAGTTATTTGCAACAGTTTAGTCCTTTCAGAGGTCCTTTTAAGCAATGCATACTTCCTTCAGCTACCAGAAACATTAAATCTGTGGCAAAGTTACTTTCAACACCTCACAGAATCACAGAATTTTTTAGGTTGGAAGGAACCTCTTGAGATCATCTGGTTCAACCCTCAAACCTCCTTAGAGCCCTCAGTAAATTAAACTGCTTTTCTTTAACTAGCAGGATGGTTTTTAGACATGTTCTATAACATCTAGTGGACAAGAGACAAGGGTATCTGACAGCTAGGACAATAGTATCAATGAGCAAGATCCATAACAGCAGCAGCAGGTACAACACATCTTAGCTCATGGGAATCCCCACTATGGGCTACTGTGTGGGGATTTCATAGCAGCTAGAATAACCATGGAAGAGTATTCCCTAATACTCTGCCAGATATGAAACTAGAACAGCTGAACTTCCACACAGACATGCTAAGCCCACAGCTGAAAACATATGCTGGTCCCCCCACCAGGCCTGATGTGCAGCCATCTCAAACATGAGAAGATTTTAGTTTCCTCCTGTTCTGGGAAGAGCACTTGATGTTTCTTCTCACTGCTACGTACATTGAGGAAAAGCTGGTCCCGGGTTGAATTGAGCACAGTAGATCAGGTTAAGTAGACAGACGTGCTTCTATGTTAACGTTGCACTGGAAAGCATGCTGCTGAGCTCTGCTTTACCAGAATGTACAAGCAGAGCTTGACTGACCGCTCAAGTCAGTCATCACATGGCTGATAGCATCAGCCTAGCACAGATACTGTTACTGCTGAGAGCAGCAATCAGTCAGGGACATAATCTGTATAACTGACAGCCGAGCCTCCTCTTTGTTTCCCCACCAACCCGTACACATTTCTTACATCATTATCACCACTGCGAATCAGACTTTCTCGGTTGGAAATCATGCCCCAGGCTGCTATGCCAATAGCCACCACGTTCTCCTCCGAGCTCCGACTGATGGTGTTGTCTCTGACCACTTCCCCGATGTACTTCATCAGCCCGTAATGCGTGCCTCCTGTGAAAATCCAGGCCCCTGGGGACAACATGCAATAACCCGGGAGAATGTAGTGGAATACCCACCCTCCTAATATACTACCTTTAAGATACAACAACCCAATCCCCTCTCAAGACCTTACCTCAGAAGAGGCATTTATTCTTCAATTAAACACAAACGATATGCTACACAACTTACCTTATGTTATCATGGGCATCCCGATGACTAGCTCTCAACCCTCTTACTTCCAAACTGTTAGGTCGTATTTGCCCCAAGTGCACCAGCCAAGCAGAAACAAACCGAATGCTCTGCTTCCCTGCTGACCCTTTGAGCTGCTACCTTTCCAACAGTATTATGCAGCAATAAAATAATACAGACACATATGCAGGTATTTACCTTTGGACTGGGCAATGTAGATCAGTCTGCTGAATATCTTGCGCATCCGGGGCTTGAGCGCAAAGTTCTTTGCACCCCCAGTGACAGAGATGACAAGGTTAGGGGTTTTCAGGTGCCAATGCTGGGTCATGAGATCATAGAGTGTTTCAGAGTCTGTGTCACATGACAAACGGATGTACTTGGGTGAAGGAAAAGAGGGGAAACAAATAAGTAAGAGATAAATAGTAATAGCTGGGAACAGATCAGGAATTGCATTTTCTTCTCTAATCTACACTCTTATTCCAATAACCAGTAGACAAAGGCTAAAGTGATGATGAACCAGAGCTTAAGTCTTTGTTTCTTTCTCTAAAACATCTTTATCCTCCCCCTACAACCAGACACCCATAACTAGGACTTGCAAGGTGATCTCTATTGACAGATCAGTGCTCAGGTCTGGAGATAAGGCACAGTCTTACTGCAAGCAGAACAAAAGTGCTAGTGTCAGACCAGCAGCATAGTGAAGAACATAACTGCTGGCCCTAAGGTCTCCCAGCTCCACCATTTCCAGGTTCAGCCTAAAACTGCAACCTGCAACCTCCAGCACCCTGGTCAGTGGGGTCAGGGGGCAGTGCAGTGCTCAGGTTGCACTACCACGTTCTGCCTCACACATCTTTAATTTGGCAGAAGCTAAACTGTGTAGCCCCAGAAATATGATTTTTGCAATTACTAGTAAAAGTCCACAGGCTTTGTACTGAACTGAGAGTGCAGATTCTCAGGATCTCTTTAGCCTGAGCTGAGTATAGTTGTGATAGCAGTTGCCTAGCAGTATAACAACTATTGTCTACATTTGATTTACCTTAGGTTATGACAGTAACAAATAGTTATTCTGTGGGGATTGAACAATTTATGACCAGAATAAAAGGTGACATGGCAGAATGCAGACACCAAATGACAAAGGTCCCAGTCTGTAAAAACAAATCACAATGGCCAATAATGGTCACTATTTGGGTGCAACCTTGTGAATGAGGGAAGACTATTTTTAGAAATAACAAATACAACTAAAAGAACGGTATAATTCAGAACCACTGAAAAGAAAGAGCATAAGTAGACTGTCTTGAGAGAAATCTATAGAAAGAATTCCAAGCACACCAGGACCAAGGAGGATGGGATCCCCGTGATCAGTACTGAAATCATCCCTGTAAAGACCTCAAGAGTCAACATAAAGCCTCCAAACCCTCCTTCCACTAGAGGAAGGCAAGAGCACTGGCCTTGGGATTCAGAGGAACATTGGAAGGAGGAACACAACACCAAGGAAGTTAATGGTGTAACAATTTTAACTGTAACAAAGCTATTTATAGCTTGGATTATGGATTAGTGGTAGCATTGTTATAAGTGAACTAATAATAATTATGGTCTTATTTTGATTACGCTATTAAAGCCTTAATTTGACTAGCTACAAATTCCAGGCTTCATAAGCATGGTGGCCCTATCATAACATATACGCATAACAGCATTTTATGTTAACACATCACAACTTTATCAACTTTATCAAAGCTTTAACACTGTACGAGGATGCCATAAAGCACACTAGATAGATAAACTGGCTTCAGCTGGACCTACCATCTCTCCATGTATATAAAAGGCTCCCTGGCTTTTTTGCTATGCTATTTAAGAGCCCCTTTGCAATTTCATTGCTGTTAGTAGTTTAGTGTGATGGACTTTTGGAAGACAGCCACAGCTATACAACCCATACCAGGGGATGAAAAGGAGTAACTTGGACCTGAATCATAGTGGATTTTGTATAGATTGCCCAGTATTCACAGGAGAGCAAACCCAAGGGATTAGTTTGAGGAAGAAGTGTCCTATCTTGAGAGGCATTTAACTTGAACTAAAGAACATATTCTTCTGTTCCAGGCCAAGTTCCTAGGAGTAGTTATTGCATCTGGCTCAGAACAGCACATCACAGAGGAAGCTTAGTAGGCTCCAACAGGTACACAAGAGGGCTAACGGAGTCCCACAGCTTCTGCTCTCAGAAGCATCAGCCACATGCAGCCTTGGGTGTTTTTCAGGAGAGAGTCGCCCATAGAAGAGGGGAGTCTGCCAGAAACATTAACTGCTCCACAGCGCCAGTAAGCCATCCCCACAGCAAATCTTGTTAGCTCTGTAGTTAGAAGGCATTTTGCCTAAACCCTACTGATAACACAAAGTACCTTGTATCTGTATGACAACCTTTGTTCCATCAACAATTAAGGTTTCCAGTTGAATGACTTGTTTTCATCTATACGAGTCGTTTTCATCTATATAAAGCAAGTACCAAATAAAAGATGCTGAAGCTGACTTGTCTGTACAGCTTATCTTGTTCTCTCATACGTCATCATGGTGTGTAACTGCAAAAACGCTTCAGTTACACCTAAGTTTCATTCAGTGTACTAGCAACTATACATCTGGCATTTGCCACCTCCAGAGTCCTTTGCAGGCTCTACCCAAGCAGGTGAACCCTTCAGTTCAGCCACTTTCTTTCTCCGAGGTACAACGGTGCCATCTCCTGGTACAGCCGGCTGGTGCACCCCAACCATCATCGATCCAACCCTCAAACACAAGCGATGCTAAGTGTTTCAGTAGCTGAACTCAGAAAGGTATTCAAGAGAAGCATTTTTTTTCAGATTGAGGGCTACCAGAACATAAAATACAGCAACTGCAATGTCCTTGGATGTTACAGGATCTGAGCAACACTGCAAAAATAAGAGGGCAAGCAGGACTTATTAAATGTAGAGATTTTATTGGTCTGTTCACATCTAATACTTCTGCTCAGGACTTTTTAGGATTCTTCCATCCTAAAAAGTACAATGCAGGGTATAAGACTTCCCATCCCTTATTGATAATAGTCTGCAACTCTTAGGTTACCTTGGGTTTAAAGTTCTCCCCACTGTGCACAAGATCAAGAGAAAATATTTTGCAATGTTTAAGACCAGCAGGTGCCTTGCAGTATAGGGAGTGAGAATGTGGACTAGAGACGTAACTCCAGCCAATGAGCTGATGGGATGGATTAGCAGACTTACGCACAGCATTTGAATAAAGTATGCTCTGAAACATGCACAGTGGCCTTGAGACACCTCATGAAACAACTATGGGCACACAAACCAATTCCGGAGTGGGAAGAGGGACACAACATGAGGAAAGAACATTTAAGCCCTGAGAACTCAGAAATTTTGCAGTAGAGCAAATAACTTCTTCTTACAGTAAAGGTACACAGCATCTTACAAGACAGTAGTATGAAGCTAAAATATGCATATTAACAAATATGTGAAGTACTTGGATCTGTGTAAGCGTGATTCAAAACCTTCAGTCTTACTTCCCACCCAAATGCCTCTAGTTTCTGTTACTTTGCATAAAACAAACCCAATTAATTTACATACCATGCTCTGGTTTTCCTCATTTATTTTGATTGTCTGAAGCAAGCTGCACTGGCAGTAAATATCAGCCATTTAGAAGAGGCAGATGAGCTCAGACACATGTGACGCCCCACACAGTATTAGTATAAATCATCAGAAACAGCAACACCAGCTATTTTCTTCTTTCCACACCAAGGAAATACACGGGGCCGGGGGGGGAACCCAAACAAAGAATAAAACTCTAAAGTTCCACTGATACCTTATACCCCCATTGAATTTACTGTCATTGTAGGATCTCCACCTTGGGAAATACTCAATATTCAATTAGTTATGGGCCTGAGCAAACTGGTCTATGTGGATATGCTTTGAGCAAGAGTTTTGGCTAGAAAACTCTGGAGAGCCCTTCCAAACAATTATGAGGGTGTGAGGCACACAAGCCCCATTCCAACATCCCACAACATCCTTCAGAGTGTCCAATCCAAGGCATAAGATACAACTGTGTGGAAAGGAGCACTGTACATCTGCAGACTGCAATGATCTGCACATAGAACAGCTAGGGAGGAAGGGAATATAGGTTAGCAAGCTCTGTAGGCAGGCGTTGGATGACATGCCATGCAACATTAAAGCCATTACAAAGCACAAGTGATGATTTTGCGGAGCAGCAAGCAGCTATGTGCAGCTTCTGCGCTGAAGAGTACAGATCCTCTGAAGAAAGGTCTTACACCTCTACAGATAAGAAATCCCCATGGTTATCCTCCTGGATCCCTGCTGCACCTTCAAATGCAAAGCATGTTACACATGCTCCTGTCCCAAGAGTTGCACTGGTGCACACCGTCACACCATTTTCTTTCTGAAGTGTAAGTTAGTCCACAATACAAAGATGCAGTCTTCCAAAAAACAGCCTTGTCTTGGCATTAAAGTCAGTCAGGAGCAAAGTATCTTTATCAGGAGCTTGATCATTCATGCACTTAAGCTTATTATGTTGGTGTCACCACTAAAAATAGGTAAAGGGTACTAAACCGCTCCTCAACACCATGACATTTCAGTATAGATGGGGACTACAAAACAGCCACTGTAACTGCACGCTGATATAGTCAGGGTACACAGTCCCAGTGAGAGACATCACAGATCTACTTTAAAATTATTTCCTCCTAGCCCAAGACCTTAAGAAGTGTATTATAGGCCAATTACAATAAAACTAGCCACATGAAAAAAGAAAAATAATAACTGAGCATCACCCTCATTCACCCATTCTTCTGCCATGCCTGGAAATAGATAACCTCTTTTCCCTTCCATCATTAGCCTATGAAACAAATAACACAGAAGAAATTATTCTTTGTTACCTATTATCAGGGCTTCAGAAATCAGCTTGTCTCCTTTGTAGCCTAACTCCTTCCATTCCCATTAGAATAAAATTGACTTTAGCTTCACCTTCCCTTTTTTGCAGGGGCTTCCACTGGTGTTGGATTCAGGACTCTGAATATGGGTCACCCAACAGGGGCCTGACACGTACGCTTAATACAATCACTTACCTTTCCTCTTTTTCCCATGTTTTCAAACTGAATGTCCCCAAAGGCATCAGTAGGAAGCTCCTTAGTGTGCTTCTTGTAATTCCATTTTTCATTGGTATTAATCTGAGTGCCCTCTATGTGCTGATTTTCAGGGTATCCACATTTACATAAGTTGCCCCTGAAAGAAGAGTGAATAGGCACGAAACCCCACAGTTATCATCCTCAGCACAGAAAAGTAAGCTCTGATATGTTTATTAACAAGAGACAGAAATTTTTCACAGCTGAAACCACCTTCAAAACTTCTGCTCAATCAGGACATTCCCAAGAAGTGTTATTCTGCAGCAAACCTGGAGCCAGTAGAATGCAGGGTGCCAACTGTAGCAGTCACATCAAGTGTAGAGTCTGGGAGCAGGGTTGTACAAACACAACAAGCCAAGCAGCAGGTGGAGCTCCGGAACCAGTTGTGCACGGGACTCTACTTGGATTTGCTATATGACAAATTAACAGCTAAGAGGAACCAACTCTCAGCTGAGACCAGCACCTAATTATGCTTCCTTCTATCATCTGCTTCTGTCTAGCACTGGGCAGTGGAGTGGAGTACATCTCAGGATCCGGTCTGTGCTGAGAGATGAGCCGACACTGCTGGTTGGGCCTTACCTATGTGACCTCTTTCTTTATCACATACCAAGTTAGATCATCAGCAGCTTAATTTGAAACCCTACAACTGTGCACAGAAATGAAAAAATGAACCAGAATTTGGCATCAGACACCACCAGAAGTGACCTCATCTGCTGCTAATCTGATGTATACAAATGGTTTATTTCCATTTTGTGCTCTCAACCAGATAGGAAGAGTTCACTAAGATGATTACTAAGCATAATCACTTTCCATGCAAACCCAGGGCCTGACTGGTGTCTAAGCACACCTAAGACGTATTCATACCAAGAGGGAATGAACAACTGGTTTCTGAGCAGATTCTGCAGGCAGTTTGCTGTGTTCCTAGCACACTTCCCTCACCACCACACCCCTGTCCGCTGCACAGCATGGTGTGCAGTCACTACCAATGAAACTGGTACACTGCCTCCTCACCAACACTGAAATTGCATCAAGGGGAGGAAGAATCTCCACTTTAGTTGGCCAGAACTAATTGGGAAAGCTGGGAGAACTCTTTTCCTAGGAAAAGCTGCAGCACAGACCATGAAATCTGCGTAGCCTATGTCCTTGCTTCCTCAGAGGGCATGGAGAAAGGGTCCTTGCTTATGAAAAGACAGGGTTGACTGACAACTGTAGTCAGCCAAGTACAGTAAGCATTGTCAACAGCAGTAGGAGGGAGCAAGTGTCGCCCCTACAGTCTAAGATAATGTCGTGGTTTTGGCTGGGATAAAGTTAATTTTCTTCCTAGTAGCTTGTATAATGCTGTGTCTTGGATGTAGTATAAGAATAATGTTGATAACACAGGGATGTTTTAGTTGTTGCTAAGTAGTGCTTAAGCTAGTCAAGGACTTTTCAGCCTCCCATGCTCTGCCAGCTGCACAAGAAGCTGGGACGGGGCACAGCCAGGACAGCTGACCCAGACTGGCCAAAGGGCTATGCCATACCGTATGATGTCATGCTCAGTATATAAACTGGGGGGGGAGGGTTGGCCGGGGGGGCAGCTATTGCTGCTCAGGGGCTGGCTGGGCATTGGTCGTTGGGTGATGAGAAATTGCATCAAGCATCACTTGCTTTGTATATTATTATTATTACTAGTATTTTACTTTATTTTATTTCAGTTATTAAACTGTTCTTATCTCAACCCATGAGTTTTCTCATTTGTACTTTTCCAATTCTCTCCCCCATCCCAGCAGGGGTAGGGGGGTGGGGGGAGAGAGGGAAGCCAGCGGCCATGTGGTGCTTAGTTGCTGGCTGGGGTTAAACCACAACAGTTAACAAACAACATCAGGTAAACACTTGCACAATGTTAATTTGCTAACAGCACAAAAAAGTAGATGGGGAGACAAAGCAAGAGGAACAATGCTATTAACAGCACTGTGCAATTTGGCAATATACAGAGGGGAAAGAAAAAAAAATGCATCGGCCCAAAAGGATTAAGATGAGGATATTAATTTGTGTGCTTACAGTGACCTTTATAGTTAGCCTGCAGACTGCAAACATGAGATTGAGTAACGCTCTCCTGTGAAGATTGCTGTAAAGGTAAGTCACAACATGCCTCTCTGAAGGAGAAAAAACTTATATGGTTTCTTCTGCTCTGCTGTAGCTTGCAAATAAAACCAACTTACCTTACAAATAGATAGAAAAAAAAAAAAAGCCAGCCAGTTATAAAGTATGACTTGCAATCCTTTCCCAGTGGGCTTGTAGGAAGAGAGGCTGATAAGAACCAGCTCTCCACCCTTTGTTGGTCCTTTGCCAAACATCCCATTTTAGATGGCAGAAGAGGACCCTAAGTAAGACTTTCTGAAATGAGACTAATTTCCCCCCGCCCCCTCTCCAAGGCATTTTTCCTCCCAGCTTCAGAGGAGAATGGAGTTACTGAGAGCCCTTGGAGCTGTATATTAGGACTTCTGCAGCTGCATTAGTTTGATCACTTTTCTCCTGAGATTACAAAAAACAACCAAAAAAACCAAAATCAATGTTATGGTCCTCAAACTTACATTGCATAAGTACTTGTGCCTGAATAATAAGCCAGTATAATATCCTACCTTAAGAGAACAGCAGCCTGAGCAAAACTTAGCAGATGTGTCTCTCTGCTGTAAAGGCTTGTGCATGGAATTTGTGATTTGGGTTTAAGAGGAAAATTTAAATTATCCAAAGCTCTGATACATACATACATACACACACTGTTATACACCAATACCAGTGCTGGTACTCCATCCCTAAAAACACCTCTATATTGCCACAATTATGCTTCAAATAGGGAATTTGATATTAATGCCCTTTAACAGAGCTAGTGGAAGGCATGCTGACAGAGTTAGCATGAAGGTCAGGCCCCTAGTTTTGCATCAAGTTAGTTGTGGAGTAACTCAAATGGATATATTTCCAATTTTTACACAAACTCCTGACAGTCTAGAGCAGTGGTCTCCAAAGTGGGGCGCGCATTAAATAAACTTTAAATAAATTAAAAATAGTGTTTATTTCATCTTTATCTCATCCTTTTTTAATTGCTATTTTTGTGTATGCTTTATAATGTACATAATATAGTACAGTAGTAGATGTACATATTTATAAATGAACATATATTGGGGGGGTATGCTCAGAAATTTTTACTGATGAGGCATGCAATCAAAATAGTTTGGAGAGCACTGGTCTAGAGCTGGAAGAAGCACTCCAGGGTGCCTGTCTGACCACCAGACTTCCAGCTTTTTTGACCTTGACTGCAGAATATCCCAGGCACATGCAAACAAGCAGTGACAACAAAAGGAGTTGTACAAGCAAGGCTGAAGTGAGGTTGCACTGCTAGATTCAGACCCTTAACAAAAAGCCAAAAAGTTTGCTCCCCACCCAACCCCTGCCACATGGCTTAGCAGGCAGAAATACCCTCAGCTCCCAGTCCCCCACTCCTGTAAAACGAGAGAAAAATGTCTGCTTACATTGACTTGGTGTCTTTTGTAAAAAAGACACATTCTCTCTTCTTAAAGTTTTCTTGAATGAAGTTGACCAAATCCTTGAAAAAGAAAAAAAATACTTCTGATAACTCATAAAACAGGAGAAACCTCAGAAACAGCATAGTCAGTTTAAACACAAAGTAAAACGGGTGCCAATTTGTAAGTCTCCTTTCCCAAAGTGGAGAGTGGGACACAACTGGGAAGTATGGATGGCAGTCGACAGGACACAAAAGACTACTTAAAATCACAAATAGGCATTACAAAGAACATGTGATATCAATATTTTTATATCTATCAAGCATAATATATATTACAGAGACAAAAGGTATGGCTTTTCCCTCTAAAAAAATAATCTTGAACAGCAAAACAGATTTTATATCCTAAGAGTTGCTGGAGAGCCTATTTTAATTTCAGCTTTTAATCCAAAAAACCCACATAGAAAACATCTTACTTGAATTCAGTGGCATAATACGGTTAGCTGTAGACTACAGAGCATTTCTATTTGCATGTGTTGCCATGTTTCCAGATAACTTGCAGCACTGACAATATTCTTCAAACAGTGGTTAACTCTAGTCCAGATACTGCTTAAAAGACTATGGCAAACACTGTTTCTTCCCAAGGAAAAAAAAGAAAAAAAAAAAAGATATTAATGTCCTCTTGGGCAGGGGCTATTTTAATTCAACACAAAAAGACCCCAGCAGGAGACGGGAACAACTAAAGTCATGCTTTATGTGAGCTGAGATGGAATGCAAAGCCTCTCCAGTTTGTTTAACCATTAACTCTCATATTAACCCTGAAACTCCACAAGTGAAGGGGAAGCTTTTAAACTTGGGAGATGCAAATTCACTCCTAATTTGCCTCTGCAAGCTAGGAAAGCAAAAAAGTTTCTCACTTTCTGATAAAGGTTTGGAGGTTTGTGGGTTTTGTTTGTTTTTAAGCACAGCTTGGATTTGCAAATCAAGATTTAGCTTGGGATGAAAAGGGAAGACATACAGCTATAGTTAAGTTTACCATTTTGACAGAATGTTTATAGTTAAACAGCAGTTAGAGGAAGTTATTCCAAGTAGAAAAGCATTCTTTGGAAAGGACTATAATATCCAAAACAAAGAAAATGGAAGAGAACATAATTAGCCAGTAAAAGCCACAATGATGCAAGACCAAAAAAATAAAAGGGAGGGGGAACCGCTTGCTAAAGACCTAAGAGCTAGTCATTAGGCCTCTTGCAAGCCCATCAGAAGTAAGAAATCTGCCAGACAATCACTGCGATCAGCAAATGATTGAGGCTTTTCAAAGGATATTTAACATAATTATATGTTGTCTGCCTTTGCCATCCAGTTGTCTGAAGAGATTGGGGTTCTTTGTAGAGACAGAGAATTTGTCTCTAACTGAAATGTGAAAAAGGATTTAGAAACATAAGTGACTAAGAATGTACAATAAAGAGTTACAGGGATCAAAAGGAATGCAATACATCCTTAGACTTTCACCATGTCAACAAAGCACCGCTGCTGCTTGAAGAGTCACTGGCTAGGAAAACTTCTCCATAAAGGGAAAACTGAAAAATCAGTCATCCTTCTCCTGCCATGACCCCTGGGGTCCACACCCAAGACAATACCCAAGCTCACCAACGATGTACCAGATACTCACGGCATCACTGCAGGACACATCTATGCTGCGAGACATGCTAGAATAGAGGAGTCTGGAACTCTCAAAATTGCCATTTCTTCGGTGTCGCATGGTGCCCATAGAAACCTGAAAGAGCATGGTGGAGGGGGAGATGAAGGAGTAATGGTCATTTCTTTCACTAGATAAGAAACAGCAAGGACACTTAGTGCCCATTGAAGGCAAAGGAGAGGTTATTCAAACCCAGCATAAAAAATTAGAAAGTCTATTGATTCCTAAAATGTGAAACTAACATTCAGAGAAAATCTTTTCTCTTCTGTCATACCACAAAGAGACTTTCCTCTCTCTTTCCCCACTCCAAAAAGACCTCCAAGTCAACATGCTTTGAGAAAGGTACATAACCTTATACGCCATCCCATTCAATTCATTGCTATGTCTTAACTCTCTTTCCCTTCCCATCTGTGATGGGCACATTGAGGAACTTGAACTATTCAGTGTTTATATACAATGAGCAGTCCCTAATCCAGTGTATTTGCAAAGTAAGTGGGATATTAAGAAGAAACATTTCAATCACAGAGAAAACGAACAGAGTGTAAAAAGAAGTTGGTCTGGCAGTATGCCAGAAGCTTAGAGTAGATGCAGCACCTGAACACTGATCCTTCGGGTCTCTGTCCACTCCTGTAACAAGGATAGTCAACATGTGCAATCTGAAGAGTAAGTGGATTTAAAGTTTATTGAATCCAAAAGTTAACAAATCACCCTTGGAAGCAAGCACACTTCTCTTGCCCTCGAGAGCAGACACCTGTATTGACCTCACTGTCTTTGAAGGAGCGTCGCTTCATTTGCACCAAAGCACAGAACAAGATTTTATTTATGCTATTAGTGAATACTTCAATTCCATTTATGTTACTTTGCAAAATAATATTGGAAAAGGTCTTTTCCTGAAACGAAGGCTGGCAGCCAGCTAATGTGGTGAGCTCAAATTCCACTTCTCCTTTCAACACTGTTTTCTCTCCCACCTATTCCTCTCGCTATGTGCACTGAGCTTGCTTCTCAGGTGATACTGCCACTGTATGGTGGAAAGCATCCCTCCCAGATACAGCAACATGCATTCTTGAGGTCTGACGAAGCATTCCTGTGCAAAAATATATAATTTCTGAGGACCAAAAACTAGCAAGTGTGAAAAACAATTTACTCACTGAGTTTGAGAGAAAATAGGAATGGTACTGGCAGCGGGAAGCTGTAGTCGTAAATAGAACGATGGAGTGTTATGTGAGCAACCCCCAAAGCAGGAAAGAAAAGACAAGTTTCCACAAAAACATGTGTATTTATACTTAACAGTTATTTTAAAAATACTTTGAAAAACATTTCATGTTGAGGGGGAGCACGACTGACTGTGTTGTTTACTGTGCAGGGTAGAAGTCCAGAGTTACTTCCCCCAAACTCTTCAGCATGCCTGGGATCTCAATCACTCTCTATCACTGTTAGGTGATGGAAGAGCACGTTAAAAGCCCTCTTCCTCCTTCCCACCTTCTGCATGTAATAGGAACAATTTAAACATAAGAGAAGGCAAAAGGCTAGAAAGCGCATTTCATCATATTGCATAGTGCGGTTGTCCCCAACTTTTGAAGTTAAGTCTCATTTATTCTGCACTGATTTAGTGTTGTATGAAAGTAAGATGCCTAAAAAGGTACCCATACTCAATTCAGGCACAGGTTTTAATTTGACCACTTAGAAGCAGCACCTATTGAAAGCCAGTGTTCCCCAAAGCATGGAGGAACAAATGAGTGTAATGAGGGAACAGCAATGCCTGTCTCTCCAAGAATGGCCAAGAGCACAGTGTTTCAAACAGGGCTGGCATTATTGTTGCAGAGAGAAGACCCTGTTCCAAATGCATGGATCCCTCCAGAAAAAGAAGAAAGGAAGGCTATATACCCTCTGCAAAACAAAATCAAATTGTTATAAAAAAATCTCATCTCAGGCCTCCCAAGACAACACTAAGCTATCTTACATGCCACGTGAGAATCATGTAATACCGCAGTTCAGGAACAAACCTGAAAACCTGGTACATAGTCTAGCAGGTTGGTTACATTTCGTGTGTACTCCACAGGCACCTGAGCTTCTCAGCACCATACCACCTTCCACAGACCCCCGTCACAGGGATTCAGGATTCTCAGCCCAGAGGAATAACAACAAAAGACCCCCTTTCCTTCAAAACCCAATGGTGTACAATCTCTTCACATGTATTCATCTCCCATCATAATCTTTCCCTCAAATTTCAACTTCAAAACACTGATCCAAAAGTGACTTCTCAAAACATGTGCCATTGAGAGCTATGGTTGTGCTGGCCTAAACCTTCCACATGGGAACTCTTTTCAGCTGCAGATAAATGTCAGGCTATGCACACTTGTTCAAGGTTTCAGAGAGTGGATCTGCCTCAGACCAATTTATTCCTCCTTTCAGCACTGCAGAAAGCCATTACACTGTTTCTCAAGTAAAAGCTGAAGAAGAAAATAGAGCATGCTCTTGCTTTGAATCTCCTTTGCGTTAATAACTTCCCATCTTCAGAGCAAGGGTAGAAATCTGGCAAGCTTTGCACCAGATTCAGGAAAAGACTTCGTAGCAAACTTACTAAAACAGCTCGTAACAACAAAACACTAAATAAACTGACCTCCAAAGAGGCCACCAGCCTGGCCATGCCCTGCTTCAGATCTCCAGAAGAAAAGCATGGCTTTATTTGCCCACAAACTGTAAGGTCTGCAGAAGGAGAGAGCATTTGTTCCCTTAAGGCTATCTACTCAAGGGCCTTTTCCATGCAAAAAAGGATAAGAAAAGGAGGAAGCCATAAACAACAATAAATAGAGAGGAAAACCTGACTGACAGACAGTAAGGGAGGGAGTGATGAGACCCAAACCTAGTCAACCACACTAATTGATAACAGTATGTGGAATGTGGGAATGTTTCTTCAAGAGAGGTTATCTGATGGGACAGGCTTGTCAAATGGAATACTATGGAAAAGGAGGAAGCCATACACAAAATACACAGAAGCTCAAACCTGGCAGGCAAATGTAATGGAGACAAAGGCAAGAAAAAAACCACACCTTGTCAGTCATGCTAGTTGATAGCTCTATCAAGAAACTGTGTGGGAACTGGGACTTTGCAGCTGATAAGGATGCAAACCTGAGGTTCAAGGATGTTGGAGGGGGGCCGGTGGAACCCTGCCAGCTGACAAGGGGATGGCAGATGGGGAGGAACAAAGGAGGGACAGGCAGAAAGGTGTATAAAAGGGGCCCTTTGCATGTGAAATGGGGTCGGTGGGTGGACTTGTCTGGCTGAACCCTGTACCTGATCACTGCAGTCTCTCCTATTTCCTTAATAAATTATTTCTTAACTATCCAGGCACGGTTGCTGGGCAGACAGAGGGGCTGTGCTGGTGCTTGAGGGATCTACGAATATGTGCATCAGGTGTGTGCGCCTGCACTAGTGGCCTCCTGTCTCCACTGGCCCAACGGGAAGGGCCCCATTAAAGAAATATAAAGCACTAGAAATTTGCCAAGGGCAGTCAAACTACCATTTCTGCTCATTACTTTCCCAAGACCATTTCAGGGCCAGTGGAGCCTCACGCTGGACACCCATGAAGTGAGGTCCAAGGAATCACCTGTGAATCATTTAGGGACTTGGCTAGCATCGCTTGTTCACTGACAGGTGCAAGACCGAACACAGTGGTTCTAGCTTTATAGTCTGGCTATACAGTCTGGTCAAATACAGTCTGTCTTTAACTTCCCTAAGTATGGGACCATCTGTTTTCAATCTATAGGCCTGCCTGGCTTTTCACAAACCCTCTAAACACCAAACAAGTCCACGGTCCTGCAGATAGCAGCCCCCTTCCCTGCATGGCCCTAACTTCAGAGCAGATCAAGAAGGGCCTGGTAAACAAGAAGTCCACCAACAAAAGACTGGTAGCTCTCACACTGCATTTCCAAACAGAGCAAGCTACAAGAAGACAGTTGACCTTGGTCTTGGCGTTATGACAGGTTTCACTCAGCACCGCAAACATTTTAGGATTCCTCCTTCCCTCCCCAGGCAGCACACGAGCTTTGCACATTTTACCTAGTGCAAGGATGGTTTCCAGGCGTGAGCTAGAGGGAGAGAAGCAACCATCAAAGCTCTAGCAGTTCCTCTTCTACAAAGACACACTGCCAGAGGAATTTAGAGGCTACAGCCACAAAGCAATCATCCTCCCATTGTGGACGGCTAACTTTGATAACAACCAAGACCATGATGGCCGAGAGTGTTGTCCCTAAAAACACTGTGTTGTTTAAAACAAAGCAAACACCAACCACCACCACCACGTCACTTAAACTGAGTAAGAATGACAACTGTGCATTGGGAGTATTTCCTAATAACCCAGTATGCAATTCTTATCATTTCACACAATTGATGTCTAGTGTAAAGATGTTTTTAAAGCTGTAATTCAAGATAAAATTTCCATGGAGAGAAATACATTTTGGTTTGGATCTATGCAACTGGCAGCGTTTTACTTTACTTGTTGATTTGTTTAATAAGTTAACACCAGAAAGTGACTATGGACATAACTGTACAGAGGGAAGATTAAAAGGAAACAAGGGCATTAATTATTCATTCAAAACACTAAAGGATTTCAAGTTTGTCTCACTGCATTTGTAAATAATTGATAAGAATGACCGTGCTGCAAACTGACAAAAGTTAGCGAGGTGCAAAGGAACCCTGAAAACCTTGGACTTATTTGTAAATTTAAGTTTTGAAGAGCTACATTGGTACCACAGTGTTTAGCTGATACTAGTGAGCGAAGCTTATTAACTCCGTGAGTGTCAAAAATAACACAGCAATTGTACATACTTTAAAAGATGTGACACAGCTGCAGTCTACGGAACAGGCAAACACAGTTCATTTTCTATCACATTTCCAACCCATTAAATATATAGGAAGACATTTTTAAAGCATAGACTAGTGCATTAAAGCATAACCTTCTTAAACTAACACATTTTGAGAGTAATAACCATTAGATAAACACCAGAATAATCCTCTAAATATAAGACTATTACTATGACTTCCACGGCACTTGAAGAAGAGTATTCTAAGGAAATCTTCAGCCTGAAAGT